GAGTTTACATGCTTAAATGGTTCTCTGCATGGTGGAATGGTTCTTCACACACATTCTCCATCAATCTGAAGAACCATTTCACAATGCAGAGAACCTTTAAGCATGCAAGCATGCAAACCATTGTGCATGATATTCTTTACTAAAGAACCCTTGAAGAACCACCCTTTAAGAGCATGTGAGTGAATAAAAATAGTTAAGTGAAGCTGGGTTTTTAAAAACAACTAAAACAGTGCAGTCGCATGTGTATATACACACGAGATAATGACTGTATACAGTAAATAATGATTACATATACACAGTTTTAGTCAGAGTTTATCCTTCATTCATTTAATTTCCAGTCAAAACAGCCATTAAGTGTGAATTTCATCTTTCAGTGTCAGGAAAAAAGCAGAAAACATAGTGATGTCCAGACGTCTGAGAGCGCTAGTGAAAATGTAGTACTCTAATTTTCCATTCCACCTGTTAAAGAGTAATTACACCCCACTATTTTCAGCTAACTCCACCCCTGGCTCAACTTTGAAAAATGCTCAAAAATGGGAGGGGCATGCCGGGAGGGGCCCTGTAGTGATGTTCAGCTTTGGAGGTGAGGCTAGGAGGGAGACCAGACGGGCTGGGCTGCTGTGTTGTTATAGCTAACATTAGCTACCAGAAAATATGGAGAGCGACAGAATCAAACAGCCCTTTTGCAACTTCAAGATCTTACGAGGTTAAAGATTTTTCTCCACTACCATCCCCAACTTCAACGGGGGAAGGAGTTTCTGATCAGGCAGTGCATCTTGAGCCTCACCAGCATGATTCCAAGCACAGAAGTATAACAGTTTAACAAGGAGACTGTATCGTACCAAACAGGTTGTTCACAGATGTGACAGGTTGGGGTCGTACACTGCCTCACCGGTCATCTAGTGTTTCCTGCAGTGGCCCTAAATCATTACGGTCTGCAAGCTGTTCGTGGCACATATCAGCTGCTACATGGAGACTTGCAAGGATCCTCACTTAATCGGTCTGTCAGGTTACCTAATCATACATTGACTGTTAGCAATATAAGGCCAGTTAAGTCTAAAAGTCTAAAAACCACAATATCTACAAATATAATAACTAAGAATTACCAGTAATAACTAGAACACTAAATAACGCGTTAAATGTGATGAGACGATATGTAAGGAAAAACATTCAAAATGCTTGTATGGTTTCATATTTATGAGTGCGGCACGAGCAGAGCCATCTCTCTACATGGCTCTGGGTATGAGTAGGGCGTCATCACAGGGTGGTAACATTGGTTGACTGATTTGCATAATGTGACGTGTGATTGTGCTTTGGTGTGAAGACAGGTCATCCGTGCCTATAACAGAGTTGAACCAGAGGGGGCACTGCAGAGGCAGAACTGACCACAATAAAAATGATATTTTTACAGTTTGATAAGACATGTTCACATTTCAGGCAAGGCTGGTGTTTATTATTATTACAAAACAATGCATTTCAGCTATTAATGAAAAAAAGTCTTAGGGTGTAGTTACTTTTCAAATGAAGCATCAGTTATATTCTGGCGCCTGCACTGCTGCACCATTTAAGGTGGAATGGAAAATTCTACTCTAATCTTTCCATTGCAAACTGTACAATCTGCATAAAAATCTTCACAATCTTTGAAATTTTAACATGAATTTCAGGATTTTAGTGCTTTACTGACAGCCTGCGCTCAAAAGTCTGATCAGCAGATCTAATCGCCCTGAGAGTTGTCTGAACACGAGCTTCACTTTCATTTTTGTATAAAGACCTGCACGTGGTGTCACAAATTTGCTAAAATTTGAATAGTGACCCAGCAGAATCTTCAATATTTCTCCTTCATGTTAATCACCATAACTTTTTTTTGTTGTAAATTTTTTAAAATTCAAAATTTTTTTCAGATTTAAATGAAAAATGTGCTGTCAGACTTCTGAACCCTCACTGCATGTTGAACCCTCACTGCACAAAACTGAGTACTGATACTGATACTAACTCCAACCTGATATTCATACAATTTATTAGATGATTCATTTATTTACTGTATATATTTAGTATATACTATTATATAATAAGTAATAAGAACTATTTTAAAACTTAGGTAAATGTAAAATATCTTTATTGTGCAAAACAGTTAAAAACGGAGATGAACAGTATACAGATAAACCTGTGGTGTTTACACATCAGCACACAGCAGCTTCTCTGGCTCAAAAACGGAGCTGAATGTTGTTTCATGTCCAAACTTCTTGAGTCGTTTGTCTCACACGTGTGTCATGTTCACTCGCACTGCATCTCTGAGCATCAGTTCAGTAAATATCACTGTCATTCAGGCTGTCAGTATCAGCGACTTTCAGTGTTTTTCTGGCTTAAATGAAGCGATGGGCCACAAGACCCCGCAGCTGAGTGATAGAGCAGATTGTTGCGGATCTGAAGCTGCTTGATTTTCTCCTCTCTCTTAAAGATGAAAGCTTTAAATGCTGTTTATCTGATGGGAGCAGTTTTGGTGTCTACCAGGTCTTCCAGGTGGTTGCCAGGAGGCCTATTTTATTTTTGTAGCTTTTAATCAGTTTTTGAACTCCAGCGTTGGAAACTCTCTTATTTTCATTTGACTTCCTCCTTTTTTATGCAAGTGGATTATCTTAAATGTAATCGTCTGAAAATGAGTAACTTGTTCTTGACTGGAAATTAAATGTGTTTATGTTCCACTGAAAAAACACATCAAGCCAACAATCTGATCTAATAAATGTGGATTCAGTCAGAAAAATTACACGAGCCATTATACTCTTCAGCTGTGTTCTAGGCGTGTTATTAAAAGCCATAAAAGTGTGACGGGCTGTTTTACGAGCGCTGATCTAATTTAATTTAATTATGGCTAATGGAGCTGCAGGTCACATGACTCCATCCTTTAACCAATCACATACAGACATGCTATCTCCAATTCTATCCATAAAAAAAGAAAAATCTCTAGACCATAAATAACAACGCGTGGCCACGAAACGGGGCTAACTAAGTAACAGAGCACGACCGGGTGGGTGTCTGAGAGCCCCTTTTAGTGATCAATACAGACGAGCTAAGACCACTAATCTGACTGACATAATCAATAATGATTAGTGTGAGTAAAGAGAGAGAGAGAGAGAGAGAGAGAGGAGAGAAAGAAGAGAGAAGAGAAAGGAGAGAGGGAGAAGAGGAGAGAGATGGAGAAAGAGAAAGAAGAGCGAGAGAGAGAATAGAGTGAGAGAGAAAAAGAGAAGAGAGATGGAGAGAGACAAAAAGTGGAGGAGAGAGAGATGGAGACAGGAGAAAACGGGAAAAAAGAGGAGAGAGAGAGAAAATTGAGAGAAAAAAGAGAGAAAGAGTAAAAAGAGGAGAGAGATGGAGAGGGACAAAAAGTGGAGGAGAGAGAGATGGAGAAAGAGATAGAAAAGGCAGAAAAAAGGGGAAGAAAGAGGAGAGAGAGAACATTGAGAAAGAGAGGAAAAAGAAAGAAAAAGCAGAGAGGGGGAGAAAGAAAGAGAGAAAGGATAGAGAGAGAAAGAAAGGAGAGTGAAAAAGAGGAGAGAGATGGAGAGAAAGTGGAGGAGAGATAGATGTAGAAAGAGAATGAAAAGAGAGAGAAAGAGGAGAGGAAAGAACAGAGACATATTGAGAGAGAGGAGAAATAAAAAGAGAGCGAATGGAGAGAGAAAGAGAAAAAGCAGAGGGGGGGAGTAAGGAGAGAGAGAAAAAGGAGAGGATAGAGATAGAGAGAGAGAGGGGAGGGTGGGGGAAAGGGGAAAAGGAGGAGAGCCATAGAGAGAAAAGTGGAGGAGAGAGATTGAGAAAGAGAAGGAAAAGAGAGAAAGAGGAGGAGAAAAAGAGAGAGAACAGAGAGAAAGCAAGCAAATGGAGAGAAAGAGAGAGGGGAGAGAGAGGAGAGAGAGAAAAAAGGAAGATGTAAAAGTAAAGTGATTTTGTTCCAAGCAATGTGACACACACACACACACACACACACACACACACACACACACACACAGACTCTCTCTCTCTCTCTCTCTCTCCATTAGCTCTACTGTCCAAATTGAATTCTGTTGTGTCGGTCACTAATTTACTGCTGTGAGGTCGGCGCGAGTGTGTGTTATAATCACTGTGTAGATCCCATCTGACCATTGGTGAGGTCATTACAGCTGCAGACTGAAAGGTCAGTGTGTGATCACAGCGGCTGATGGCCTACGCACACCAAATCAGATCACACTACCATTTCCCTCTTATACAGAGATTTCAGTGACAACAGGAACTATCAATATACATCCTATACATATATACACATAACCATACATGCAAACAATACTCTGGTCATTGGGCCATTTTATCAGAATGAATGAATGAAATTATGAAATGAACCTTTAGCCAACTGTGTCTGAACACATCAGAATTAGACCTCCACATTTAACCCATCCGTGCAGTGAAACACCACATACACACTAGTGAACACACACAAGGGGGCAGTGAGCACACTTGCCTGGAGCGGTGAGCAGCCCTATCCACGGCGCCCGGGGAGCAGTTGGGGGTTAGGTGCCTTGCTCAAGGGCACTTCAGTCACGTACTGTCAGCTGAGGGGATCGAACCGGCGACCTTCCGGTCACAAGGCTGGTTCCCTAACCTCCAGCCCACGACTGCCCCGACTACCTATCTTGTAGCTACACTCACTGGCCATTTTATCAAAAACACCTAAATTGTGTATACACTCACTGGCCTTTTTATTGGAAACACCTACATCGTATTTACACTCACTGGCCAGCTTTATCAGAAACACCTACCTTGTTTATTTGCTCCACATCGACCCCATCCATTAGTGGTCAGAACTACAAAGTGCTCCTATATGCTAAGTGGAGCTGATAAAAGCGGATAGTGAGTGGACACTGTAATATGTATTTTGTCCTTTGCTATTAACTAGCCTTTTACTGTTCCTTCTTTAAAGCTGAATCTAATACTTTATTCAAACAGCAAGTGTGTATTTTACTCACTGCAGCCATCCTCGTCGCTGTGGTCTCCACAGTCGTTATCTCCGTCACACTGCCACTGTGCTGGTATACAGGTGCACTCTCCAAACGCACTGACCGCACAGGTGAAGTGATTCCGCCCGCACGAACACTCTGCACTGCCCAGCACACCTGCAAACACACAAACACGCAAAAAAATTATAGTCTCAGGCTGCGCAACATGGACAAAATAGTAGTACTGCGATTACCCGCTACTCGTCGTGTCGCACTAACCTACCAACAATGAGTGCGCTTACATGCACTTAATAATCCAATCATAATTGGATTTCTGCAGTTAGCTGATTATTCAAATGGTCATGTAAAAAGCACTCTGATTTCTTAGATCAGAGTAGGGTCTAGAAATCCAATTAAGAAATCCAATAAAGAGAGCTGGATTTTAGCTCTGTAATCAGATTTCTCAGTGAATTCTCAGTTCTCACCAAACACATGCTTGACTAAATGAAGGATTGAAATATTCTTCTTCTAGATGATGTATGTTCATATTTTCAGGTAAAGCGGTGTGATGTTTTCAGCCGCAACATGTTTTAAGTTACGTTTACATCACGTCTTCTTCTGTGAGTTTATTGGCTGGTTGCAAAGTAGAAATCCGATTACTGCCTGACTCATGTAGACCTGGAGTTTCTCCATTATCTGATTACTCAAGAGCATAAAAACACACTGAACCAGATTCTGACATAATCTGATTTTCTGCAGCTATCAGATTATTAAGTGTAAACACAGTTTACTAACTAGTTACTAACTACTTGCTACATGTGGTGACTGTGATACACATTGCTCACATTAAAAAACACTGATTAGTGTTAGGCTCATTTGCATATTGCAGCCTTCCTCCAAAAGGCCTAAATCATGAAAACGACTAACAAACAATACACAGTTACAGCTCGACTGCAGCTCTTATACAAACACAGCCTGAAAACCACAGAGCTGCATAATATAACATTATTCTTAATCATTTACAATACTGACCTTTACAGTCTGATATCACAGCAGGCTGCAATATGCAAATGAGGCCTTTAACCAATCAGATAAATCAAACTGGATCCAACAAACGTAATGAAGTCACCATAACATGCCCCTCCCCTCTCTTTTTCTCTTCTTTTCTTTCTGCCTCTCCTCTCCCCTTTTCTTTCTTCATCTTTTTCTATCACTTTCTTTCTTTTTTTATACCCATTTCTGTCTTTTTTTCTCCTCTCTTATCTTTTCTCCACTGCTGACTTTTTCTCTCTTCTCCTGCATCACACAGCTGAAAACAGCCTGTACTTCATTCAATGTTTATAGATAACTGTGCATCATAGTGTCAGAAACCATATAAATCAAGTCTATTAGAGATAGACTGAACTCCACACACTTTGAGGAGAGTGACAGTGATTCAGTAATGCAGTTAGCACCATGCTAACCTGCTAATTACTAGTTTCCATCACTGTGTCTATCTGTTCCACTGTACACACACACAGTGCTGCTAAATATAGGACTGTGTGTTTTTAAAGGACAGTCCTCAGTGCTGCTCAGATCAGTTCAATGCCGGTTTAATTCCGGTTTAGTGCCGGTTTAGCCCAGCTCTGTCTGCTCCCACCTTCATACTTTATATAGAACAAAAGCAGCTGCTGCAGATTTTAAGACAGCTTTAACCAGCTCAAATGACCACCGTCCATACAGCACTGTGTCAAAACTGACCACATGAAAGAGGGACAAGCATTCATCATACAATACATTACGGGGAGAGAGAGAGAGAGAGAGAGAGAGAGAGAGAGAGAGAGAGAGAGAGAGAGAGAGAGAGAGAGACGGAGAGAGAGACAGAGACAGAGACAGAGACAGAGAAACAAAGAAAACTGGGAGGGAGAGAGATACTGAGAAAGAAAATGAGAGGACAGAGAACAAGAATGGGGCAGAGAGAGAAATGGTGGGAGAGAGAAAGGAAGAAAAAGGGAGAGAGGGAGATAAAGACAGGGAAAAAGTAGTTAGAGAGAATGGAGAAAGAGAATGGAGAGAAAGCAACAGAAAAAAATGGAAAGAGAAAAAGTGGAGAGAAATAGAGAGAGAAAGAAAGAAAGAAAGAAAGAAAGAAAGAAAGAAAGAAAGAAAGTGGGGAGAGGAAGAAAGAAAGGTTATAGTAGATAGAGAGAATGGATAGAGAGAGAAAAAATGGAGAGAAACAATGAAAATGGGGAGAGAGGGACAAAGAGAAACAGAGTACGGGGGGAGAGAGGGAGAGAGAGAAAGAGAGAGTAGAGAAAGGGTGAAACAAAAGGAAAAGCAGATAAAGAGAATGGAGAAAGAGAAAGAGAGAAAGCAAGAGAGAACATGAGGAGAGAGAAAGACAATGGGGAAGAGAGGGAGAGAGACAGAGATATAGAAAGAGAGAAAGCGATAGAGATTAGAGAGAGAATGGAGAGAGAGAGAGAAGGAATGCAGCAAAAGAAAAAGAGTAAGAATAACAGCAGTGAAAGATGTGCAATAATCATTAAAGTCTAAACTGTGTTCCACTAAAAAGGAACAGTTTGTGAATTTTACTCTACAGTGAGTCATTTTAACAGCAGTAATGAGAGCAATGACACTGTATATTACACATAAACTACTGTAGGGTCAAATAACTGCATTACTAATCAAATTAAAATAGTCCAGCAGGGCCACACTGACACATTTACCTACACAGGAGTTCCCCACAATGCACTGCTATCAGCGGGTGGCTTTCAGTGGAATCCACCATGACCAGCAGAGTTCAAAAAACACAGCAGATAGACGAGACAGAGCTCCACCTGCTCTCACCTGGGTCTGTGCATGAGTCAGTAGAGGAGTAACGAGTCACAGAATTCACAGTTCAGTCTGACGTGCAGTGGCTTCTCAATTCTGCACATTTTTAAAAATTAAAACGCCTGAAAATCTGCCTCTTGTTAAAGAGCCAAAATAGTATTTATAGTATAGACAACCATTTTTTCTCAATTTCCTAAAATAATAATAACAATAAAGAATTTGATTCAGTATGTAAACACTTTTCAAGCTTCAAATTCACCTCCCACTTCATACAGCTGCCTGTTTTGCATTCACAGTTTTTACGTGTCCCCTTTCCAGTATCTATCAGCAGAGGAACTATTAAGCTGAGACTGGCTTCTGAACGGAATTTACCGTTCCACCTTAAATAGTGCAGCTGTTACTGAGGCGCCAGAATGTAACAGCTGCCCCATTTAAGGTGGAACTAAAAAAAATTCAATGTAGTAGCCAGTTACAGCATCATAGTATTTTAACAACCGCACCATTTAAAGTGGAATGGAAAATTCGATGTAGTGGTCAGTTACAGTCTCATAGCAATGTAACAGCTGCACCATTTAAGGTGGAACGGAAAATTCAATGTAGAAGCGACTAACAAACTCATAGTAATTTAACAACTGCATTAATTAAGTTGGAACAGAAATTTGGATTTTGAAGCCACTTTACCATTTAAGGTGGAAGGCATCATAGTTACGTCACAGCTGGAACAGAAAATTTGATGTAGTAGCCACTTTCAGCTTGATAGTATTGTAACAGTTGCACCATTTAGGGTGGAATGGAAGATTTGATGTAGAAGCTACTTTGAGCCTCAGAGTAATGTAATGGCTGCAGCATTTAAGGTGGAATGGAAAATTCTATTTAGAAGCCACTTTCAGCATCACAGTAATGCAACAGCTGCATCATTTAAGGTGGAACAGAACTTTTGATTTTGAAGCCCCTTTACCATTTAAGGTGGAACGGAAAATTTGATGCAGAAGCCACTTTCAGCCTCATAGTAATGTAACAGCTGCACCATTTAAGGTGGAATGGAAAATTTGATTTAGAAGACACTTTCAGCTTGATACTAATGTAACAGCTGCACCATTTAGTGGTTCTACATAGAAACATTATCTTTACTAAAGAACCTTTAAAGAACCATAAGAGAGTACAAGGAACTGTGTATGGGATAAGTATGCATTTACTTAGGCATTTGTACTAACAGTTGTCTAATATAAAACTGAACAAAGAGCAGAAACGACAGCAGCCCCTCAGTGCGTCTAAGGGTTAAAGTTGTAGTTTGAGCTCCGCTAAAGGGTGGTTCACTCTGCTCGGACTTGGACCCAGAAAGGCTCGGCCACCCTGCAGCTTCCAGCCGCGAAGAAAAATCACAAAAATGCACCCACAGAGCTGAAAGCCAGGAGCTGACGGCCAAAACCCGAAAACACTCATTCAGTCCCAGAGTGGAACACCTCACACCACACGCGTTTTCTACCTACAGCAGACAAAAACCACGGACCAAACCACCGAAACGGCCTAGACATATATATATATATATATACACATATAAGTATATAAAAACATATAGGGGACATATTGGGGAAACCCTAATGTTTGGGGGTCCGGGCCCACCTTGATGAGTCTCTGGTTTACAGTTGGGTTTTATACGGACGTTATGGGGATGTTTTCACACTCAGCTGTGGTGAACAAATGCAGGTTTTACACTGCATGAAAGGCTCAGCGGTGACTGTGTGTGTTCTTCCTTTCACTTTACCACCTTCACACACACACACACACTACACAAACACCCTCCCTGTGTGTAGTGGTCACATCCTGGTTAGGACACCAAATGTCTGACCATTAATTAGGGTGGACCTCCCAAGTGTCTCTGTGGAGGGCCTGTGTGTGTTTTAGTTCAGTCACATGTCCAAGCACTTTTTACATTCAAGTAAAACGTCAACAGAAGGGAGTCCACAGAAGTTAGCAGGAGAAATGCTGCGGGACTGGAGCAACAAAAACGGAAAAAATACAAATAAATAAAGACCACCATCATTTTCTTTCTCTACTTTCATCTGCAGGAGAGTTTAACGCTTCGGCAGCTCAGTGGGAGATGACAGCTGCAGCTCAGAACACCAACAAAACAGAAGCTGTTGTGAAACTTCATCATTTAAGTCAGAGAGCAAGCTTTATTTACTTCATTTCCACTCAAAACAGACATTAAATCCCAGTTATTGATCTTCCAGGAGATATTTCTGAGATTAGACATAATACAATTACATAAGGAAGGAGACAGTCAAAGGAAAATGTGAGTTTCCAAATCTGGATATCAAAAAATGATTAAAAGACATAACCACCTGGAAGACCTGGTA